TACGTACTTGTGCACAAAATCCATACCGTCCTCGATCCTGTGAAATCATCTAAAGCCTCCACTAGTTTTGGAAGAACTACTTGGTTCATTAGATCATATATACAGTCATATTCCAGATTTTTCCTAGTTCAGGATCGATTCAAATAAAAACCTACCTCTTTTGGATTAGTCTCCAATAATTTTTTTCTGACGAAGTGAATATTGAAAAGGAAAATGTAAGCTTCTTGATACACCAAGATCTTTTCAACAAAATCTTTAGAAGAGGAATTTTGGCCAGATTTCCGACTCGCACTTTGACATGTTTGGACGGTTTGTACAAAATCGTGGGAGCTGCGAATTGATGAAAAATTTTCTTTGTACATCACTCGTACCGTGTGATTTCAAATATTTTGTTCATACACTACAGTCGTATTTACTCTTCCATCGAATGTTTGTTAAATCAAAATAAGTTGCAGAGTCTCTAATTTTTGAAAATTCACCAACGAATGACCGTGTGTTTTTGCCTGGTTCCGTATCGTGTGTGCACTAAAGACCCAACTACACGCGCGTTAATCAATTTTGTGTGACGTATTCTGTGCTGTGTCAAATGTTTTCGGTCTGTGCATGATTCCGTGCCTGATTTCGTGCCATTGCGCTGCTGCAGACAAACGTTTCAAAATCATTTACATTTTCTCTTTTTTGAATTTGCTGAAATTCTCTTGAATTTTTTTTTTTTGAAAATTAAATAATACTTTATCAGAAATGTGCTTGATTCGGGGTTTTCTGGCTGAAAATTGATTTTCTCGCGTGATTTTCTTTTTTTGCGTGAAGCAGTGTTTGATCGATTCGGAACTGATTGAACCGATCCGGAACTAGGAAAATGGGCATTGGTACTTTTGACGTCGCAAAGTAAAATTAAAAGGAGCTTAAATTTGGAAAATTATTGTGTAGTATCTCCATCACTCAAGGTAAACTTTTTAATCAATGTCACTTGAATTCCTGCATAAATTCCAGACAATCGTTAAGGGACCAGGGGTGGGAACAAGTCTTGGTAATCTACATGTATATGCACCCGCGCAGCAACGATTTTGCACTCAATCTTGAAAGATGCTGTCTACAATCAGACAATGTTAAGGAATGGATGCGTATATGGTTTTGCGCGGACATCCAGGAACTTCTGAAATCTCCTTATCGCGTTCCAGGACCATTTTTCATAACTGAGTGATTCTCGAGGCTGGAGCGCTGAATTAAACACATGGCAACGGACAACACCCCTTATACAAACAAACGGCAGCTCTCGGAAAAGAACCGGAATTTTCACTTTCTAGTGAAACTGTAAGTTAATCTCGGTAGTGGTACCACCATCTCAATTTTTTTTATCTCTACGGCAGTTTTGGGGTGAAGTCTGATAGTTTAGCTGGGCTGTGGCCAAGTAGAAGCAAAAGATGCGATACCCGCTCTGACCTTACTATCGCCCGATCATGTCCAAATGAAAAGGCGATTTGTAACAGTTGGGGTCTGATGTTAGACTAGTAGTATTATAGTAATTCCGCACTATAGCATGACTAGTCTGCACACATACATGTAGTACTACTAATTAGTTATTTGAAGTAGATTTCCCTATCATGTCAATGTGATAAGTATTACATTGTGTAAGTGGGGATTCTAATGACGTTAAGCATACTGCCATGGCTAGTTTATGTATGACTGGCATGCCAGGATGTTCTGAATGCCATTTTGAACTGGTTTCAACATTAGGAAAGAATGTAGTAGTACTACTAGTATCCTGACGCCACTTCTTTGGTTGTGTACTAAGTCTATGGAGAGTTCAGTGCATTTTCAAAGTATTTTCGAACAAAATTGAAAATGTTTCTCAGTCCCAGATTCATGTCTTTTCAACATTTTTGCAATGACTGACCTTCATTGACTGAGATATTACAAATGTATATATGACAAAAAAAGTGGCATCAGGATGCAACATCCTTTCCCAACAGGGCATAATTTATTTTAGACCGTAAACGCGGCACCAACAACAACGCCGCGCTCCTGAAACACTCGAAATATATCGTTTTTTAATACGCCATTGTTATGTTTCGTGGATCTTAAAGGGACACTAGGTCCTGGAACAGCTTGATTGGGCTACAAAACGCGCTTTGAACGAGATGTTGATAATCGGAAATAACATTTAAAAGTAGGATATAAACATCCACACAACTATCCTTTCAAAACTGGGCGTTTTTGTGTTATTCCTGTATTATGCATGCGAGAACGAATTTCGGGGTCCACTTTTGCGACCCCATAAATTCGAGCTGTTTGGATGCTAGTTGTGATTTCATTCGTACGCGTAAAGTGTTCGCCTTTTGCAGACGTTGAAGAAACCACAATTTTTTGCATTGGTGATTGGTCACCGCGCGCTATTCCCAAGACACACAACGTGTAAAGCATACACTGAGACGACACGAAAAACGTATTTGTACTCCGTCATGTCCGATGTAAACAAGCTGGCTTTTTTCGTCTTTTCTTGGGAACGGTACGACATTAGGTTGGTTTCCTTTCAACCAGATGTTTGAAATAGGCTAACTAAACAATCCAAAACATACAATTTGCAGAGATTTCAGGACCTAGAGCCCCTTTAAGTACTAACTTACATGTATGAAGCTTTCTGTGCATTCACACAAGCGTAGGATCTGGCATTGCCAAGAAATTTTAGGGGAAAAAACAAGCTCAACACAACCAATGCTAACAACTTTTGATTTTCTGAAAGGTCACACACGGAATGCTGAAACTCTGAGTCCTGACTGTATGCGAAATGGTAGGAGCCCTCCGGGTACCCATATAATCCGGTCCTACTAAACTGCGTCAACAAGCGTCAACAAGCATCAACGGTCGTCAACAAGCATCAACAAATTTTGTATATGGTTTTGTACAGAGCCATACTACGCATGCGCGAAGTGTACAGCGCCATCCAAACAAGATGACGGCCAACACTAATCGACAAATTCGTCGTACATTTCGCGTTAAAAAAAAACAAGTTTTAAAATAATTCTAACTTTAATTGATATGCAGAAGATGTTCTTTATTGCTTTTTTCTACCATATAAAGCTACTTTTAATGTTGAAAAGCATGTACAAAATTTGTTGATGCTTGTTGACGACCGTTGACGCTTGTTGACGCTTGTTGACGCAGTTTAGTAGGACCCATATAATCACGTGCGACGGAGCAAACGGGTACCCGCAGTGCTCCTATCATTTCGCGCATAGAGGACTCACGAGTACCAGCGTTCCGTATGTGAAAATCAAAAGTTGTTCGCATTAGTTGTGTAACTGTTAAGCTTGTTTTTCCCCTCAAATTTCTTGGCAGTGCCAGATCATGCAGATCCTACGCTCAAGTGAATTCACAGAAAGCTTCAAGTAAAAAGTGCTGTAGTCTTCAATTGTGAAGTTAGCACTCAATTGGAAGAAGAAGAAGAAGAAGAACCAGAACCCCTACTTAACATCCACCAAAAATAACTTGTCGCGTAATGGCGTATTAAAAACCGATGTAGGAGCAACTATAGAATGCAGGGCCACGCCGAAGCAAGGTTTTTTATTTTGCCTGGAGGCGTGGATGGAATAGGAGTAATAGATATGCAAACCTGCAAAAAAGTGCTAAGTACAGCGAAGGAATGCACTGCACTTGTCTTCAAAGCTTCTCATGAAGGATCGGAAGGGAGGGCGTGCTTGTAAATGTGTTGGGGGCACTGTCTGGAGCGGCGGAGGCGCGGAGTCTTGGAGTCGCAGAATCGCGGAGACGCGGGGCACTGGAGTGGCGGAGGCGCGGAGTCGCGGAGTCGCAGAGACGCGTACCGATAGAGGGCGCAATTCTCGGCGGAATCTTTTTGAGAACGAAGCATCCATATCCATTTTAAATGGGCGGGCCAATTAGGAAGGGGGGGGGGGAGGGCGACGGGGCACTGTCTGGAGTCGCGGAGGCGCGGAGTCGGGGAGTCGCAGAGTCACTTTAATTGGGCGGGCCAATTAGGAAGGGGGGGGGAGGGCGACGGGGCACTGTCTGGAGGCGCGGAGTCGGGGAGTCGCAGAGTCACTTTAATTGGGCGGGCCAATTAGGAAGGGGGGGGGGGAGGGCGACGGGGCACTGTCTGGAGTCGCGGAGTCGCGGAGTCGCAGAGTCGCTTTAATTGGGCGGGCCAATTAGGAAGGGGGGGAGGGCGACGGGGCACTGTCTCTCAGTGGTGGAGGCGCGGAGTCGCGGAGTCGCAGAGATGCGCACCGATAGAGGGCGCAATTTTCTGCGGCTCCACGACTCCACGATCGATTTTCAGAGGTAGGTCGACTGCGGTTCCACGCCTCCACGCAGCCGTACGGAGGCGCGGATGTAGAGTAAAGTGGCCCTGCATTCTATAGTTGTACCCCGATATATTTCAAGTGTTTCTACGCAACTCAGGAGCATGGCGTTGTTATTGATGCCACGTTTATGGGTCTAAATTTATTTATGAACATGATGAAATCATTTATCATGTCATGCATGTGACAATGGAACAAGCTTCCCAAATCTAATGTAGAGGCTTGCAACCCTTCTAAGTTTAAGCAGATTCTACCTAATGGATCTCCACACTCCATCCACAAGTGCAACCAACAATGTGCCCTAGTCTTCAACAATATGAAGTTGCACAGAACTTGGAAGAAGAATTCAAGAAAAAGATGTGCAGATGACGGTTGTTTAGTAACTTAGAGGAATAAAAATGCAATTTCTGTTTGTCTATCATTTTACCTATCCAACCCCTAGGTTTTATTAATAATGTTTTAACGTCAAAGGTTCGCAATCATGGCAATGGAAAAACTGTGTCACCGATCATGCAATGATGCATGCCGCGCCGGGCCAGTGCCACAATATCTCAATTAAAAAAATCGTGTTGTCAATGTCAGTGGCTGAAGCCAGTACTTCCCCCATTTAATTCACGTGTTTAAGACAGCCTCGTTTTTACCAGCTTTTGCAAAAAATATCTTCAGTTAGTGAGTTACCTCCTCCATCGAATAACCGGGTACCAGGGTCTCCAGTCCATCGTGTCCGTTGTCTATCGTCAATGAATCTGGACTTGGGAATCCTTCGTGTTGACCGTCCAGCGCCATCTTGCTTGTCTTCATCTGTGGTTGGTCACGTGACATGTTCTGTCACAGTTATATAACGCATGCGCACTAAGATTGCAAGGGCATTTAAAGACTTGATTATTACTACGTGCACAAATCTGCGACTATTTATACACACATCACGGTTGCAATTTCAAGTTGTGTCTTTTCAATTTTGGTCTTTTTGTTTTCCAATATGCATTTCAGGTTACTTAAAGGAGATGCCATTTAAAAAAGGACGAATTCTCGAATAAAAAGGCAAACTTTATCCCTGCAAGAAAGGATAGAGGGCGCTATTCACTGTATGTAGACTTTGGGTCAGCAGTGAGTGCACAAAGAGAACGTTGTGAAAGTAATATAGTAATACAATGAAATTTAATAGCAGTTTATTTAAAATACTAGATTTTCAGCGGTATACCTGTCGGAATATTACAGTTTTCATTCATTAAAATGGAGGCTTCACCCTCTTCAGGTAAAGCTATCCCCATAGTTGTACGGGTTCAATTCAGGATGGTAGAGGGCGCTGTGTAACTCACCTTCCCTCGTTTTTCGCCGGTGTGACAGGTAATTCTGTCCCCCCTGGTAAATGTGTCCCCCCGGACACATTTACCGGTTCGTGACCCGGTAAATGTGTCCGGGGGAACACTTTTACCTAGGTAGATTTGTCCCCCTCCAGGTAAAAATGTCCCCTTGCCCAACGGTGCAAGTGTCCCCCTGGTAAATGTGTCCCCATGCAGCTGTGCAGTATGTACTGAGAGCAGCAGCGTGTTGCGCGCGCCAGTACATGCTGCTAGCCTGCAAGATTTGTGGCAGCGATTATATCACATCGTGTACATATTCATCTAACAGGAAATTTCGTTACGCGCTATGATGGGAACACATACCAATCCAAGTAGGCGTTGTATCAATGAGACGAGGGCCATCGCCACTATGCATCCCGCTGTATTGTATTGCGGTAGGATCGCGATAGATTTCACCGTATTTCCGAATCGAAACATTGTGTTCACATATCATCTAACAGACCAAATTAAATACTTTTATGATGAAGGGCAGACTAAAAGTCCAAAATGTATATACCTTGTGGAGTGAATTCATAAAAACAATAAAGATCGAGAACTGGCCTTCCGGGTTTCAAAAGAGGGGGACAAACAAACCTGGGGGACGGAATTACCTGGAGGAGGACAGAATTAACGGGCTGGGGAGGACACTTTTACCTAGGTAATTCTGTCCCCCCGGACAGTTTTACCGGGGGACAGAATTACCTTCCACACCGGCATCGTCAAGTCCCGCGCCCGCATTTTTTTCTTCTTCGGCTATTAAAGTCATTTACCTACATACGCATGCGTGGGACATGTCACATGAGTCCATTTTCTTTCTCAAAAAATGTGTTTAATCAAGTCCTTTAGGTAGGCTAGGCGCGGACATCCTGGATTTTTTCATTGGCTTATCTAGCTCCCAGACCTATGTTCTTGAAACTCAATGGTTCTTGAGTCTGAAGTGCAGAACGGTGACACACAGCAACAGATGAAAACTGGTGTGCAAATGAATACATGTAGATGTTTTCATCGGATGACGTCACTCCGTCCCAATCTTAACTGATCGATAAAATAAATCTCAACTTTTTAATCCTGATTCATAGCTCTGGATTACTTTTTTTTTAAGGAAAGTTAAGTCCAAGAACCATTCCTTTAAAAAATAATTGCGTGCCAAGTACAATATCGTGCTCGGGACAGTGGGTACGAGGGCATGGCTCCCGTATAAGACCTGTGTTTTAGTCGAGACCTGGAAGTCCGAGACCAAGACCAAAACCTAGAGGTCCCAGACCGAGGCCCCAAGACCTCACGTTTAAATTTACATCAAAGTAAAGTGAAAAGAAAAGAATATGGCGCCTACTGAAATAGCCTAGTGGCTAAGCTGTCTGACAGCGGACCCAATCTAGTTGGTGTCATTCTTTGGTTTTCAGCGCACGCGGTTTTGTCATTTAGTTTAAGAGATTTATTTTCCCGTCGTCAATTACCATCAACAGCTAGCTCAATCGGTTAGCTCACTCACAAGTAGCCTACTCATCCGGGCCGAGACTGTCCGCAAAGTCCATGTAGCGCTAGCATCTTCGTAAATGTACATAGGGTTCTTTTGCTGTCTCGGCAGCAAGGCTTAGGTTGCCACCTCGTTTCCTCCGTTTGTGGTGCTTGACTTTCGCGTTATATGGATGGACGGGGAAGGAGGCGTGATGGGCCGGGTGCCGAGACCCGGAAGAGTTCTATATTGGAAGTCGATAAGGGCCTCACTGATTAAGTGAGAGTCATAAATTATGTCCGACTCCTGAAGACTTGGCCATCGCCACATAACTTTTTGTTTTATTTTTTTTCTATCCCAGGACAATTGCAAGAATGATTAATTTGTTTTATTGAGAGCTTGTACTGTAATCAATCGAATATAATTTAAAAAATTGCTCGAAAGTACAAAAATAATGCATATTACATAAGAAATCAAGTAAGATTTGAGGCTTTGCATGGTGGAGATACTAAATAATGAAAGGTTTGCGGAAATCAAATTAAACAAAAAAATCAAATTAGCTATAATGTCTTGAACGAAAGAAAATATGCAGCCTGCTTCACTTTTTGTGAAATGTAATCAATGCAAATAAATAAAGACTTGGCCCCGACGACACGGAATGCCTAAAATGTTGATCAACTCGCCCTTTTTGAGGAAAAAAAGACTTAAAAACAACAGGGGGAAAGGGAAAAGTGGAGAGTTGGAGCATTGAGGGAAGCAACCACAAGTCATGTTGCAAAGAGCTGCTCCAAAACACAACCACTACCCCCTTCCCTTTACCTATTTCACGCATTCAAGCACGCCATCTGTTATCTACTGTAGACAGCAATACCGCCCCAGGAACAACTTTGCCATTTATCACCATCCCCACCCCTCCATCACCCATATTCCCGAAAAAGGCACAAGTTCGCAAACAAGTAGGCCTACAGAACTTGTGCCCGAAACCCTATTCATTTCTACAAAATACCTAACCCCTTTGTTTTGGAAGATCTACTAATTCACCATTGCTCATTAGGCTACACCCCTTTTATCCACATTCTCTGATCTAGACAACACACTTCCAATGCTATAAACGATACAAAACAGTCAATTCCACCACCTAGCGGGTGTCGCGCGAAGTGCGGCATCCCAGTAGTGACAATAAAAACTTAAATGTTCCTGTCTGATCAGGAGAATTCGTGGGTGATAGCGGTTCGTCGTGAAAAAAAACGCCCTCACCCGCCGCAGCGGGTTATCGCAACAATCGTCGTGGCCCAAGACTAAAATAAATGCGATAAAATCGTGCGTCGCGCGCAAATCGTCACAACTAAATTTGGTATCAAAATGTTGCTAAAAAAACCTGTGCTACAAGGAAATGTAGGAATTAAGGCGGAAATCGGCGGCGATTTATATGCCCATTTCCCACGTTGCTGGAAACAACTTTTGAATTTGAAGTTAATTTTGATACAGCTTGGCAATTCAAACGGAATGCGACTGGCCACACAACACAGTCACTGCACCGGTGGTCGTGGCAGTGGCAGTAGACGTTGAAGGAGCATCGTCTCCATCAGATATTTTGGGAGATGTATAGGAACTGATGACACCTGTAAGACCGTATGGGGAAATTAAAGTGGAAGCATTTATGGAAAGGAATGGAACAGCAGATCACTGAAGTGCAGAGTGTGTGCAATATAGGGCCTACGGGAAAAAAATAAACGGTTACGTTGTGACTACCGTAACGCCATTTTCAACTACTATCATTTTGAGTAATTCAAATCGTTGCGAATCTATATCTATTATCATTTTTATGGGGCTAAATCAAATCCTACTTTTTATTGTACTTGATTTTCTTAGTGATCTGTGACTTTGAATGATTTTTTTTTATGAAAGGGAAATAAAGTCTGGGAACCATTCGGTTGCTATTCTGGTTCCAAGCAGAGCAAAAGATCCTGACGATGTTCTCAGGTCGGGGAACCAGACGGTCGACTGCCTGAACAATAGCCATCATGAGCGAAAAATTCAATATTTTATATTTTTAAAGCCGGCACCATTTAAAAAAATCATGAATTAAGAAGGTTCATCATCATGATGATATTTATATCTACGACATAGTAGGGGAAGTCACCACCATGTGATTATCAGTCGCAAGGCAACCTCTTGAGTATTATGTATAACATTGCGAGCAATGCTATCGCGGAGAAGTTAGGCCTACATGAAACAGAAAATAAGGTTTGGGTCCTTTGCTAAGCCCTTTTTTATGCATCTAGCTTTTGTATCAACAACGAGATCTCTACTTGCAAAATTAAGTACAATTTGCTTAAGACACAACTCCGTGCATAGACAACAGTGATAAATGCCCATACTTCAAAATTCTTTTAAAAATACTCAGAACTCTCACAGAGGTGTTCAGGCTGCACAGAAAAATGATGATCAACAAGTCATCTTTCATTTTCTTTTCATTACTTTTGGTGGGTTGACCGATGACTTTTCGAGAAATTCTCACTCAAAGAAGACGACCCTTAAAACGAGTGATGTTTCCTAAAGAGGAAAAGTAGCCACCTTAAAAACGGATCCCTTCACAACATGGCTAAATGGCCGGCGCCACTTTCGGGCCCGATTGCATCCAACATGCTCTGAATTGGGAGCCCCAAGTCCAAGCCAGAGGTGTATTGCCATATCTCTTCAATTCCCCAATTCCATGGCATCTCAGAACTCTCTAATAAAGAAGAATTTGAGTAAGTAAATTGTATTCATGAGCTCGGCGGACGGACATTTGGCCTATTTACTGGTGGGCACTCAACAAGAGCAACGCGACCAGTGAAAACAAATCGCACTGCAACGTAATGTGCCAAATTCCCTGTCAGCGCTAATGGCTTCGAATCCAGTCAAAGCTGCGAATGCACACAAAATGGCTCGGTACTGTCTTTTTCAATGAAAAAAAATGACATTTAAAATTGTGCATGAGAAATGCCCCGCCTGATTTTATTGCCGTATTAAATTGGTTGAGCCCGTCAACAAGAACCATAATGTATCGCTGCTATCATAATGGCTCATCAATCACAGCGATGCATGATGTGGTGCTGTCGTCAGTCATTAGGCTCATAAACGTCACTCGCTATATGATGCATAATACACCAAACTCCGGCGATAGTCCAACGAAAAAATAAGCATATAAATCACGTAATTTAATTCCAATAACATTTTCTCTATGCATTTTAACGTGATTATATTTGGTGTGCAATATTACATTCAATGCAGAGTGTTTTAACACTTTTGCCAGAGAGGTGTTGATTTGGTTCCAAATATTATCTTGGTTGTTTGATTCTTGTTTAAAACTTGAGTTGTACACGGAATATTAAAATAAAATCCAAATTTTACGGATCAATGTGTGTTACAGATATGAACTTGAACACTGCCAGTGTGGTTGCATCTAACAGAGTGATTTACTGGCTTACCTTCGATACCCTATTTGCACTCGTACAGTCATGAATTACATACCGACCCTTTTTATTACCTTTTTTTTAAATACACCTTGTATAAATGCTTGCATTTTTTCCATAGAAACGAGAAGGATATTATTGTATTGTGTTCGGATATGGTTTAAGGGTCACTCGAAATTGCTCTGACCTTTATTCTTAAAACTGCAATTATAAAACTTGTGATCATTCTGGGAATGTTTACAGGGCTGAGATTGTAAGTTTGGTGTACGGTGAACAATGGAAGGCAAAGATAAACATCAGTAGAAGTTGTACTTTGATCTCAAAAACTTGGCCCTAGTATTCAAGAAACGGATCTGCAGATAACAACACAAATCCAGGGTAAATTTTCATATAACCTTACAGCAACCTGTTTCTGTAGTCCTCAAAGTCCCATTCCCAGTTTTCTGCTTGTTAGTTGCCAACAACATTTTAATTCATACACCCGCCAAATCACCATTCATCATGTACAACAGCTGGCTAATTAATGACTAACCATCATGACATAGCATTATACAAACACCGTTTGTTGACTTTGACCCTGTTTATTTTGTTGGGGGAAAATGTCCGGGTGATTTGGTGAATCGTGTGCGACGGTAAAATATTTTGATTTAAGAGCGCATGCTCCTGTCAAATGTAACTTAGATATAGGTTTTAAGAGTTAGATTAGCAGCAAACTGCGGTTATATTGTGGTTTGACAATTATAGGAAGATTGTTTTTATGAACATCGGCCGTACCCGGGATTTATTCATAAATTCATGCACTCCGATACAAATAAAATAAACTGGTAAACGGGCAAAATTCCGATAAGAAGCCACATATATATAGAGATTCTTCTTAATGATAACCTAGTCACTGATACAAACGTAATACCGTCAAGCTGCCAAAACCTCCGACCCTAAAAATATCATGCGAACGTTTTGCCTTTCGTGTTTCAGACTCCAAAGGTTTAGGCTTTTTCAGTCTCTGCTATGGTCCATATGTGGATACTGCAGCCGATACAAATGGCGACAATGAAAACCACGTTGAGTAATAACAAGGACCAGGCAAAGTGTGGCGTCTTGTTTTCGTTTCGTAAACGCTTCCCAACTACATTTTCCCAAATGTTGATGACGTACTCGTTAACTTTCTTGATATTGTGACGGAGTCCCCTGCCTATGCCTCGCCTTAGTGCAACTTTTACCCCGTGAAATTGTTCGTAGAGTGGACACAGTCCTGGTTGTACGCCTACCCGCTTCATCACTAGGCCTACAAAGACATCGTCCCACTGCAAAAACCGCACGTGTACCGACTCGCGGTAGACAGATATAGCAACATCGCCAGACATGGCGTAGCACGCACCGTTCAAAAATGGCGCGTACGTGGGCTCTGGGTACATGTCGTACGGCGTGTACCATTTGGACTCCCTGCTCCTGTGTGGCTTCGGGTCAGCTCGTAGGTTTCCCTCGGCAAAGCTCGTTCTGGGCATTTCTATCAACCGAACGACCAGATTGTAGATATTGAGTGTCATGTCGGAGTCTACACTCAACACGTAACTAGCTTGGCGGCAGAACAGGGCCACCCATTTCAACCCCATGATTGTCTTGTGGGTCATGTTGTGGTAGGCATCGATAAAATCTTCTTGAATGAAATCACGGTGGTCGTTGTCTTCATCTCTCAATTTGCTATTGGCCACCGAGTCTGTGGTCTGCCCAACCAGGAACATCGTTAGAGTCCGTCGCCCTAAGACCTGCTTAACGCCTCCCCAGGTTCGTCGGATCTGTTCCCGGTCGTAAGTCTCATTTGGCCGGCACTTGACGAGAATAACCAGGAACAATTGGCCTTTGGTGTCGTTTCTCCTGAAACACGCGTCCTTGTTTGCAATCGTGAAGTTGAAAGGGTGAGGGTTGATCACTTCATCGCTGAATAGTGGACCAGTGGTTATGTTGGCCCAGTCTGGAATTTCATCGGAAATCCTTTCCCATTCTTCTTCGGTTTGGCGTATGCTTGAAATATTTAAAGACGCCTCTTCTAGGTCATCTATGCTCGGTACTGTAGGCTTTTCAGTGGTTGGTGGGTAGGCATCGGGGCCGACCACAGAATAGCCCACCAGTAAGCACACGACAAAAACGTACACGAGTACGATTGTGTAAAACATCCGTAATAGTGAGTATGTCCGAATCATGCACATTGTGCAGACTTGTCGGTTTGATGTATTTGCCGACTATATCTTGCCCACTCGGCCGTCGAATATTCAATCGAGCTAGGTTGCCCTTATGGACTGTGCAGTGTACACAGTGTGTAAGCAGAGCTCAGCCTAGTCCATTTTGCAGTCACCACCATCTCATGTCTGCTGATCGAATGAACTTGGTTCTGTGCCAGTGCTGTCGCCTCTTATGCGCGGCCTCTCGATACGCCGATGTATACACCGGTCATAAAAGTTCCTTCACCGTCATTATACAAAAAAGATCGTTTTGTAATCTATGACCATTACAATTATCATACATGAATACCAAGATAGGCCTGATGGTTTACATACAGTTGGACAGCGACACGCGTCAATGAACAATATGCACTGTTTTACATCGTCAATTTACGGTATAAAAATTATGAATTACAAATTTGTTAGTACTCATCCTATCCCTATGGAACTTCGCAGACATATGTACGGAAGTTCCCCTTCCCGAGTCGATGACTGTGCAATGCATGTCACGCCTCCCATGGAATGACGTCACTGTAACGAGCAGTTCAGGACGTGCAGTGGTTCGCTGATGGTTCGTGCTGTACACGTTAATTAATGACGATGGTCAAAAGTCGACGTATAACTTGCAAGAACACCATTATGCATGGTTAAGTATTATATGAAGCCTCCGCATTTCACTCACGATGCCAGTCCCGAGTAATTGGAGTCTTCTTCACAGGAATTACAGTATGAGGTCCATGGCTGACTGCAGTGTTTCAGTATCTTGTATCCTGTCTACGAATCAGAAGTCGTTATTAATATAATAAGGAGTACCATGAGCAAAAGGAAGTACATGTGTTCATGTTGCAACAGGGGACTCGGCTCTCCGAGTCTTCGTGTTGTAGTTGTGTCCAAAAGAGAGCATTGACCTCTGAGTGCTTCAGTATCCGTCTGCATTCTGCACATATCGATGAATCACAACAGGACACACGTAGTCTTCACACTGGTACCCTAACGTCATTGCTATCCCTTCCGCACCACTGGGATGTACACCGAACACACAACAAACCGCTGAACTTCTGAATAAAGGCTATCTATATGGTCAGATAATGACTTGTCTTTGGACCTTATTCACGAGAAAGCCATTTTGGACGGGCTCCCTGAATGTATTTTATTAATTGTGAACTGTTGAATGAGATGGTGCCAGACTATTATACATTCTAGCCTCACTTTCATTTTTTGTGTGACTTAAACATTAGGGTATGTTGAATCACAAATTATTCATCAGAGCAGACTGGTATAATGTGTAATTAACTTTATGTCATTGCTTTCATTTCTCTTCGCAAGTTCCAAAAATGAAGATTTTCCTCACTTTAAATTCAATATGGCCGACTCGTGAATAAGACGGTACTCGCCATGCAGGCTGCAGATATCTAACGAATCAAACCAGGCCCGCAACCTTTAGCCCACACTAGTCTAATTTTCTCGTCATTATACTGTGTACGGTTTTCCTCAGTGTGTATATACTGCTCTGGGAACACGACGCTCCCATGAAGTGCTAGCTGTTACTACCCTAGGCAACTCTTTCGCTACACCACAAAATAATGTCATGAGTATTGATTTACTGCACCAGGTCGGAAAGTTCCCATGATCGCAGGAAGACGATGATAATGCAGAATCAGAAACAAAACCCTGTCTGGCATTAATTATGATAAATACTCATGTGGCAATGGCGCGACACGCTTCCAAGTCACGGGCAACTAAACACTGTCATAATTTGATCTGTATAATTTGCCTTTATATACAAAGCAGCTTGCACTGCAACGCGCATGACAGGACACCATCACAATTAAAGGGTCCACGAGATGATTTTTTTTCTTCTCAGGAACACATTTTTGTGTGTGCACCTTTCTACTCCTCTTAAATGTATGAAAACTATTTGACGTCCCTTTTTGGGGGTTAATTTTAATGAAAAGTGCACCTCATTAAACATTTACAATTATTGTCCATTTTTCCGGACAACTGCAGGCGCTGTTGATGTCATTTCAGGAAGACACTGCTTAGTTTAGGGGTTTTCTGTTCAAATTGTGAACCAAAAAAATTGCTCATTGAAAACAGAGAAAAGTTTGCTCATTGGCTTACTTCCATGTACTGACACAAGAACGAAATTTACCGTACAGCAAAATATCCAAAATTCTGGCAACTTTTGGTGCTGAAATAGCTGTAACATTGAGGTTTCTGCCTGAAATGACATCACACTTTTGCGCATGAATATGGACATTTGCATAAAAATACCCTTGAAAATGGCAATACGAACATTGAAACTAAGGTTGAATGGGACACAAAGGTGCATTAACAAGGATTACATTAAAACAATTACATTGCATGGGCGCTTTAAAGATGTTTAAATTCTTCCGCCAAATTAGCGAACACTCCCCGCTAATTCTACCGTTGCAAAGAATTTCCCGTACATAGTAGCGTAGTTTGCTTGCGCCGTGAACACGGAATCCCAGTCATGTTCGCAGAATTCCTTGATTAAAGTAGGGTCGTGAAATTCAGCCCTTTTTCTGAAGAAAAAAAATATACATACCAATCTGTTATTCGTCTTAAAAACCCGTTTCCACGGGCAGTTTCTTGTTACTAAATTTAATTTTAAAAAAGTTCATTCGCAGCCGGATATTATGTGCCAAAAGGGCACGGCACTTTTCACTTTCCCCCCCAAAAGCTGAGAATGCCATTGGTAAATAAAACAACCCAAACCTACTGTTTAATTAGGCCGCGGTTCTGAACAAACCATCTGTAAACAATGTATGTTGAAATGCACTTTACTAATTAAAGGACCTATAGCTTTCATACATTTCATTGGAATGGATAAGCCTATTCGGAACAACAAAAAACGGTTTCAACGTACGTGAAATTCATGTGATGATCCTTTTAAACAGTATAATTTGTGAAAATCCGTCATTTGTAAAATCGTAATTAAATCAATACAATAAATTCTCCCCAGGTCTCCCTTTAGCTTTGCAGCCTTTCCTTAATAAAAGTACACTTCACTCGAACAAACCTCCTGCGTTGATGACAAACACTTGTGCTTCCATGTCTTGGCCCACTCGAAATCATGACAACAATTTCCGACAGTAAAAGAGAAAATAATAATTGGAGAGTGTGATTAATTTGAAAGAATGAGTCGGTGGAATGAACAAACACAAAACTCCCGGAGGAATTGCCGGGGGGAATGTTTCTTATGAACATTCCACGTGTGAATGCACACGAATGATGGTTTTCATATTAACTTTTGCTCGCATGGTAATTTATGTCCGTCAGTGTGGCAATCTGTATGTCCGTACTATACGCCATAGCACATAGGTAGGCCTATATACCTCTACTACTAGTGGAGTATGGGAATTTGAAACCATCACACACAAAAACATATTGTATTCGTTTATACATGAAAATGGTGCCTTTTGAAAGTAATACCTACAAATGCAAAAACGACCGTGACGACTGATAATATTAATCATTTTCTGCGATAAGGTTTACTGATCAAATATCATTAGCTTCTTGGGTTGTGGCTGGACTGTGTAGAACCAATGTGCTTGTAATGTTTACACAAACGGAGACTATAAACCATGAAAAAAACGTGAGGTCAGAATAATTCGCGGCGACGTTGGTTAACGGTATTTGACCCGTCCATAATTCCCACCTTTCTGGATAGAGCCTGAAAGTTGACCCCTGGTGGCGCGCTTCCGGACCCCTCGAATTGGAAAATCGTGTAGAAGCCGAAGTTTTATTATTTTATAGAAGCCGAAATTATTTTTGGTACATTGATTTCTTAAGAAAATCACCCTCGGAAAAGGCCTTTGTAAAATTGTTAATATCATCTCAATTTATGGAAACTGAAAAATCGCATGTTGTGGAAGAGAAATATCGTGCTAAAAATTGACCTCTCACTTCCGAAAATCTAAAATACATGTGGAATAGTCTATAGAGGAACTCTGTGAACTCGTACAAAGATGAAAAATTATGAAACAAATGTTTTGGTAAAAAGTGAAACTTAAATGGGAGACTAAAACGAAGGTTGGGACATGCCAAGGGTTGCGGAGGTGTCTGGAAGCTCAAAGACAAAGGCAGTGAATAACTCGTTCCAGGCCGATTCTACTTTTAACCTTGGGACAATATACAGTAAACCCTGGCGCGTAACTAACTTGCTGTGTTCTGATTCGTCCCCGCAATGCGCGAGTAATGAATATATTTCTTGTACTTGGTGATTCTATTTCTGACGTGTATTAGGTCCGCGTTTATAATGATGTCCAGTTACCCCCTACAAACTATTCCCCTTTTTAATCATCGTTCTTGCATGAATACTGTACTTTGGTTTAGGTGAGATTATCCAATTTTGTGCCCTGAAATTAAATCATGATTTCAGATCTGCTGAAGCCACAAAGAATTGCTTTAGTCATGGTCTAGTATGTGCCCTAGACAACAGTGAAACACCACATTTATTTCAAAATAACGGATACTACTGCTCGACACCATGGGGACGAGGTTGTGTAAAACGTGCATATACATTCACTAGCTGGTCCCTGCCCCATGAAGTTGGGGAACGGTAGCTAGTTTGCGCAGTATGGTTTTTATTTTTGAAAATGTTTACAGCTTTGTGCCACGATGGATGGTAGTTGGACACATGGCTATCAAAAAACTTAATCTTACACCATGCAGTAGGCAACTTCGCCAGAGTCTGCCCATTAGTGGTAGCCTTGTTGCCATTTTGCAATAGGATGGTTCCCCCTTACATTAGCATATAATTTGCATACATTTATCCTCCCAATGTATTCCAAATCTTCTGCCTACTACCAGTCCCTACATTCAAAGTCCGAGGGACAATAATAGCGGGAAGGCGGGAACCAGTCTAAATAATTCACGAGGGCGATCTACAGCTACTGAGGGCGCCCTTGTGAAGCCCCGTAAAACGTTTCATTCAGGCCCTTTAAATTTTATAAGGGGGCATGCAACGAAGTTTTCTAAGGAACACATTTTCGGCAACTTTTTAAAATCCCTTTAAATGTACATTGCATGGGCCATGTATTTCGTTGGTTTGGGGGGGGGGGGAGAAGGGTTAAACGATTTGTGGGATCAAGGGCGGATCCAGAACACAATTTTTGGGGGGGCCAAAAAAAAATTTGGTCCTCCAAAAAAGTGGGTCAAAAAAATTACGGCGTGGGGTTCGGGGCCCGCTTAAGGGCCCCGAAACATTTTTGGATTCTAGATGCTCTGTGGTGCGATCTGAGGCAATTTCTGACCACTTTAACCAATGTTTTTTTGAGGAAAAGATGGTGGTGTACTCATTGCCTGCCTTTTTTGCGATGTCACATAAAAAAAAAAAATTGGTTTCGTTTTTTTGGGGGGGGGGGGGGGCCATGGCCCCCTTTGGCCCCCCCTGGATCCGCCCTTGTGTGGGATACAACTAGCTTGAGTAACTCCAGCTGACATGCTCATATTCATGTGAATGAATATGAGCATGTCAGCTGGAGTTACTCAAGCTAGGATACAACCACAACCCTTAACATTATCACTCCAAATGCAGATCTGGCACACCTTTGCAAAAGACAAAAGAAATTGTGTGGGGCTGAGGATGTAATTAACATTTTCAATCCATTTTTTTATCAACAAAAGAAAACACACACACACACACATGTTAATGTGTTAACCATAAATCTTTAAAACTTGCACGTAATACAGTATGGTTAAGGTTGAGTATGTAGATCATTTGCGGCTATCCGAAAAGTAACTGACCAAATTATTATTAAAAAGCTTACTTGGTTTAAAGATAGTAATGGTGAAAAACTCCCTGTGAAATTATTCTTTCTGGCATGCTCTCATTTTGAAGAAAACAATACAGGTGTGTGAGTGACCACTGATAAAAATAGCTCAAAACAGCTGAAAAAGGTGTAAAAAAGCTGAACTTTGGAAATCTCCTATACTTTTGTACACAGAAAGTGAGGGAAAAAAGCTGAAATCCAAAACACAAAA